ACCGTCGAGATGGTAGAAACACAAAGTGAGCACTTCGAACTACGCTACATAAGATTTGAAACTCAATTCATTAATCAGTTTTAGACCTCCTTTATCCGAGCGAGCTCTAGGTTCACCCTCTTACATCAACAACATATCCATTTTTACACTTTCCACTCTCCGCATTTCTGAAGTATGGCGTTTCTGCAAAAACTACAATACAAAAAGGTCCTACATGCATTAGATTGAATAATTTTATTTGTCCTAATTTTCTCCAATCTCAGTTTTTTGTTGAAACTACACTGAATTAAAAAGCAATTTGCGTGTTCAGCACTGTTCATCTAATATCTTTGCTTTTCGCGCTGCCATAACTCTGTCAGGTTTCTTGGTTGCCTCAATCATTAAGACGCACAAAACTGGTGTGACCAACACTACCACCAATGCACTTCAGGACCTGCCGCAGAAAACTACTACTTCAATCAACGACTCACGCCCGAAGTTTGCGTCCACTCTTTCATCAATGCTGCCAGAAAGCAGTTCACATCGACGCTGCGCAGCTGCATGACGTTAATCATTGTATCACTTCTCCAAAAAAAAATTATAAACGTTGAAAAATTATAAACGTATAATTTTCTTGAAAAAAGTATACCCTCATAGTTCAATTCTCTTGCATTTTTTTCGCGAAATTTATACATAACTGCATGAAATAGGCCTCCGTTGACTTTTTCAGAAAAAACGTCTATGTGCCTTCAATGATTTCGTTCTTGTGGTCCTGCTGGAACACTTTCTACGAAACCCTCTTTTATTTTCCCAAGTGTGCATGCTGCTACACTTGCTAAGTACCTTATTCCTGTTTTACTAAATTGAAACAAGCACTTGAATTAGTTTTTTTTTCAATAATCAGTGTTGCGCATCAATCGTCGTTCGCAGCTAACCCTTGATACTAATAACAAAAATATTAAAGCTTTTGTCTTTATCTGATTCTGGAGACTTGCCACAAAGATTTTCTAGTAGGCCAGAAAGCTCATCTTTTCTTAAATTAACTTTTTTCTTGTCCCACAAACAAAACTATTTCCACAGAATGCTGACTCTTGTGCTAAATGCGGATATCGGATAGGACATAGAGGGTAGAAATATGATTGAAGCCGTCAGGATGGTAGAAATTTAAAGTGAGCACCTCGAACTGAACCTTTAAGATTTGAGACTGTTTCATTGATTAGTTTTACACCTCTTTTAACCGAGTGAGCTCTAGGTTCTCCCTTTTACTGCACCAAAATATCCATCCGTACACTTTCCACTCACTTGATTTCTGAAATATGGCCTTTCTGCAAAAACTATAACCCAAAAAAACCAACACACATTAGATTGATTAATTTTATTATAACTTTACTGTCCTAATTTTCTTCAATCTCAGTTTTTTGTTGAAACTACACTGAATTAAGAAGCAGCTTGCGAGTTCAGCACTGTGCATCTAATATCTTTGCTTTTCGGGCTGGCATAACTCTGTCAATTTTTTTGGTTGCCTCAGTCAATATGACGCACATGCCTGATTTGACCAATGCTACCACCATTGCAGCTAAGACCTGCCGCAGGCAATGCTCCAATCAATGACTCACGAACGAAGTCTGTGTCAACTCTTTCATCAAGGTTGCCACAAAACAGTTCACGCCGCTGCACAACTGCATGTTATTAATCAATGTATCATTTATCCAGAAAAAAAAGATGACAATATTTGAAAAAATGATTTTCAAGAAAAAAACTGAATTTGTGTAGTTCAATTCTTTTGCGTATTTTTCTTGAAAGATATACAAAACTGCATGAACTAGACCTCCCTAACATCTTCGAACAGCAAAAATTTCAAATAAAATATTTAGGTGCCTTCAATGATTTTGTTCTCGTGGTCCTCAAGGAACATTTTCTCCAAAACCCTCTTTTATGTGCCCAAGTGTGCACGGTGCTACACTTGCTAAGTAACTTATCCTGGTTTACTAAAGTGAAACAAGCACTTGAATTAAATTTATTCGCTAATCAGTGTTGCGCGTCAATCTTGTTCACAGCTAGTCTGTAATACTAATTGCAAAAATATCAAAGTTTTTGTCTTGTCAGATTTTGGACACTTGTAACAAAGATTTTCCAGTAACAGCTGCATGACGTTAACCAATGTACCATTCATCCAAAAAAAAAGATATTAGGTGTTGAAAATTCGATTTTTCATGAAAAAAGTGAATTATTTTACTTCAATTTTCTTGCATGTTTTCACGAAATATATACAAAACTGCATGAGTTAGACTTTCGTAACATTTTTGGGTAACGACGATTTCAGACAAAAGGTTGATGTGTCTTCATTGATTTTGTTCTTGTGGTCCTGCAAGAACACTTTCTCAGAAACTTTTTTTTTCTGTTCCCAAGTGTGGCTGTTGCTACACTTGCTAGTCTAATTAGTTTAATCCTGATTAATTGAAATGAAACACGCATCTAAAATTATTATTTTTCGCTAATCAGTGATGCGCGTCAATCGACGTTCGCAGTTAATCTGTAAAACTAATGACAAAAAAATCAAAAATTTTTGTCTTTGACTGAATTTGGACACTCGCCACAAAGATCTCCCTTTAAGTCAAAATGTACCTCATTTTTTATTTAGTTTTATTCTTAGCCCACAAACAAAACTTTTTCCACAGAACACTGACTTCTGTACTAAATTTGTATATCGGATAAGAGGTGGTGTGCGGTTCATTACAAAGTCACCAAATCTTTTTGGACTATTTTACGACGTCCAGTTTTGGTCGATAGAGCCGAAGCTATTTCTAAAAGCGTGTTTGGCGCCACTATAAACCAGTTTTGAGAGTGAGCGGGCGCCAGAAATTAATATGGACAAAATCTTCAAAAAATTTCCCAAAAACGTGTTTTTAGTCCGTTTTTCAAAAAAACTGCTTGCGGTGCAGAACATTTTGTTTAAAGGGTGTGTTTATGAAGCTTTGAATGAGCTCGTAAAATTATTTTGGTTCACCTAAAAATTGTTTAAACTTTTTGGGCTACGCAACTTTAACTTATGTGATACAATAATTTTGAGTAGCGTTTTGGAGGTTCTAATTAAATTCTTACTAAAGCTGAGATTCACCCTCAGAAAAATTCTGAGTAACTCAGCCCTCAAAAGAGTGCTGAGTGATGCATTAATATGTAGCAGTCACTCAAGGAGAGTTATTTACCGCTGACTATCAATTCCAACTTTAATAATGTTTTAAATGTTTAAATGTTTTAAAAATTTATGTTTTTCCACTGTAGGAAATAGCACAACAAATTAAAAGATTTTTCAGGTATCATAATAAACAAAAAAGTGGTTTTTGCTATTTAGAGAGGATGTATAAAAAACTTATCAGGCTGTCTGAGCATAGTCCGTTTCTAATATTTCCCCGCATTCCAGTTATTTTTCATGAGCGACGCTCTTTTTTGCTATTCAAGGTAGTTTTGTTGCGTCTAGAACTTTCACGTGATACCACTTTTGCAACAAAAATTGGTCAGAGTGTTGCAGACTTGAAGCTCACACACTATTAGTGCCATATCAATTATTAGTTGGATCTTTTCCTCACATACTTAGAACAAAAATTCGCACAAAATGACACTGAAGTATTTTGCTGCTGTTCTGCAAAACCATCACCATATAATAAGATGCATAAACTTCAACTTCACCTTATTGTTATGACTTTCGTAACGAAAGTAATTGAAAATTTGTGCTCGGGGTGGGTTTTTTCTTCAGACAAAGTTCGACTTTTTAACTAGACATTTTTGATGTTTTTTTTTTTAAAATATCATTCGAAAGGTATTATTGTCTCGAGCTGAAGTTTGAAAAATTTTTCACCTGTGATCATTTTTGTAAAATTATGGGGGTTTAAAGATAGCCATTTTGACCAATTTGGGAAAATTAACGCGCAATCTATTTCGTGCTTTCAATGCAGAAGCGGTTATTTGATCCGGGGATTGATCTTAGAAATCGTTCCAAATTAGTTGAAGGAAGTTTATTTGCCATAACTGATTTGTTACTACGCGCGAGCTCAATCACTTTGTACTTTAAGTGGTGTGTGTGGGCATGGTTTTTGCAAAGATTTCATATTTGAAATTATTACTGCTCTATTGACCTTGAAAGGCAGTCGGAACATTCAGGGCCTCGCCTAGATACGAGCAGTCTTGTTTCAATTAAGTTTAAGGTGTATTCTTGATATAGGTTGCGCAATCTCGCAACAGAAATCGTACAAAGTTGCGATATATCTTTTTGGGTTAAGCAAAATAGAGGCGAACCTTCGTGGTCGCGAAAAATTGCGCATAAAGTTTTGATCACGCAAAAGCGCAAGATATCTTTCTCGGCCGCTCAAAGTCGCGGAAAATTATTCGAACGCGCAAAGTCCTGAGATACTTTTTTGAGTCACGATTTTCCGAAGTAGATTGCGGAACTCAGATTGGAAGTTGATATAAACCATTTTTTTTCTAGATAGGAAGTTAATGGCATGGTTATTTGGTGGCTTATATGAGCAGATGTCTACAATGAACCTTTCTACCATTTCGCAATTTCTGATTCTTATTAATTTATGAGTTACGCATCACAAAACCAAGCAAAATTACATGCACTGAGCTCAAGTGAAATCATTATACCATAATCAAATTGACCTGGTTTTTGAATCAGGACGGAAAGTTTCTTGTGTGCGTAACCTTTATTCTTTAATCAAGAAAATCATTCGTTGCTTTTTGTTTTTGAAGTAGATAATTGAAATCGACCCTCAAACCCTCGTAGCTTTTAAACGGTTGCTTCACCTACATTTCGACCCAGATGAACTTCGTCTGATGCTCAATGGTGGCATGATGTTTGATCCGTGAAAATAAAATCTCGACTAAATTGAAGCGCTTCTTCAACGTGAACTTTCGATGCTTTTGGAACCAACTTCAAAATTGAATGTTTGATGTTCCAAGCCACAATAGAGTCGAGTAAACAGATGGCCTTATTGTGGAAACAAAATATGCGTTGGTAAATGACATCACCCACTCAGCTATAAATTAAAGTTCATCTAGCTCCAAAACTCCCCAACAACCATTCTCAACTTCTTTTACTTTCATTTTGTCATAAGTCTCTCTAGCAATCAGTAACTAACATCAAGTTCCACAATGAAATCCTTAGCTTTCCTTCTCAGCGTTTCAGCCCTTGTTTCCGCCACTCTGGCCAGAATCCACGTGGGGCCCTGTCCGGACATCAGTGGGAAGATAGTGAGTGTTCCCGACCTGTCCCCCTTCACTGGGAAGTGGTATGAGATCCAGAAGTTCAACAACTTCTTCGAGAGGGGACTGGAGTGCAACTACGCTGAGTACAGCCTCAGTTCCGATGGTAATTTAAAAAAAGTTTTGCCTTTTTTGTCTTCATTTTTGATACTTTTTTGTTGGTGCGGTCTTCCATTTATTCATGTTTCTCTTTAATGAACAGTGACTATAGAAGTTTTCGAGCAATTCTTTGAAACTTCAGACCATAAAATAGCTTCGAAATTGCTAGATAACAACTATTTGCTCTAGTCTAGTCTAGTCTAGTCAAAATTCCCATTGATAATTTAAAAATGCAATGGAATATTTTTTGCCCTAGAGAAAAATATGCGATGAAAAAATAGACGGAGATGCAAATGCGACTTATGCTTTTAGGAACCTACATCAATGTAAACAACACCGGCTACAATGGCGAGTCATACACCAGCCAAGTGGGAAAAGCCACCCAACCCACCCCTCCCCTCGGCGCCTTCATCGTCACCTTTGGGGTCAACCCCATCACCCCCTCAACCCCCAACTACAACCTCCTAGCTCTCGACACTTCCTCGTACGCTCTCATCTACTCGTGTTTTGACGTGTTCAACATCGGTGGCATTGAGTACTCGTGGATTTTGAGCCGTGAACCAACTATCTCGGCTAGTGTGCTCGAGTCTTTGACTGGAAACTTGACTGCTCTTGGCGTTGACGTCAGCAACTTTGTCCTGACTGATCAGACCAATTGCCCATAGAGAGACAAATAGAATTATTTGCGAACTCTTTCTTTAATAAGTTGTAGTCAAATTATTCAAGTTTCCGATAAAAAATTAGTTTTGTGATAGAAATTCGAACATTCTAGAGTAGTTTCTGAAAAAAAATTTTGAGTAATTTTTCTAAGAAGCAGAGGTAACTTAACGAAAGGCAGCTTGTGTGCAGCTGCAACTCAAGCAACTACATTACTACTAGACCAAGTGATAAAGTGCCTGAAATTTAATAGGGTTTTATCACAAAAGCAGCAGATACTGAAATAATTTGAACATCAACACCTGGACCAAAACAAAAAGTACAAGTTAGGAAGCGTTACATTAAAAATTTTTCCTGCTTGCAAAAAAGGCCTAGAAATAGTTGTGATTTTGTCATTCAGAATTACAAATAAACTGTCTCCTTAATCATACAACATATGACTCGACTCCGTGCAAGCTTTCGTTTGAAGTAGCTAAAATAGCTCAGAAAAAGCCGGTCATTGATAGCAGCCGGGACCAGGGGCGGATCTAAGATTTTCTCGAAGGAGAATTTGCAATATTTCAAAAAAAAACTCGAACATTTAGATCGACCAAATTGAGCTCTCCTATATCACTACAGAGACCACATGTTGATCATTTTTTTTGCGCCGCAGGGAATTTTTTGAAAAACAGCCCAAAAATGCATTTTGAAGCTCTTTTTGGATAGTTTTGATCAAAAAAGTTGCGTTTTTTGGCGCGCGCTCCCCTCCGCAAAATTAGTATATATTGGCGCCAAAGGCACTTTTAGAAAAATTTTAGGTTAGTCAGCAAAAATGGATCTCTCAAATTAGTATAAAGAAAGAACCCCCTCCCCCTCAAATCCACTACTGGCAGGGGTTATAGCTGCTTCCTAGTTTTTGATTCAAATAACGAAGAAGAATAACCAATCCAATTAACGAAAAAAAAATAACCCATGCTTCCTAATTTTTGTTTTGAGTAACCAATCCGCGAAAGAGTTTTTTAACAAAATCTGTTTAACCCAATGAAAACACTGCTTTGCTGAGTTCAAATGTAAAAAAAATTTTACCTGCAAGAAAGTTTTGTAGAAAGTTCTGGGGGTTTAAAAGTTGCCGTTTTGGTCAGGTTCTTGCTTATCTTATGCGGCGCGTACTGAGGATTTTAGCTATGATGCTGGAAATGTTTCTCTATTTATTCATTTGTTTTTATTTAATTATTTCAGAAGTGGTGTTTCCCTAAAAAACTAAAATGATTTCTCAACTGAAGCAAAATATATAAGAACTGAAGTCAAAACTCTTTTCATATTTGGATTCTTATAATTAAAAAAATAATAATTTTTTCTGTTTTTTTTTGAGCAAAATTGTTTCCCTGCTTCAGTAAATTTGGTTTGAAAATGTATATTTATGATAACTAAAACATTTTGACCAGGAAAAGTTATATATATTTTTTTTCAAATCAATTGTTTTGGAATTCTGTTTTTGTTTGTCTCTCGATTACGTATGGGTTTAGTTAGCCAAAAATCAGAGCTTAAAATTATTTTGGGTAATTTGTTGTAGAATCTTAATCACAATCAAAAAGCTGCTTTTATAAAACTGCACTTGGTTCTCTTGAAGCTTTTTAAGGGCGGAAGTTGGGCGGATAATAATACGCTCTAAGCTATCTTCTTTGTAGCCACTTCGTGACCTAACTGAAAAAAAAATTTAAAACTTTCGCTGTAAATCATCAAATAATCATAAAACGTTTCATTTTCATGTCAAAGAAAAGAACAAAACAATTTTTCTACGATTGAGTTCGTGGTATATTTCAAAAAACAATTTAATACTTCCTTTTTTAGGGGAAAATAATTCTTTATAAAAACTTATGCGTTTGTAAAAACTTATGTTGGTTTGGTTAATTTGTATTTTCGTTTTTCGGAATTGATATGTTGCATCACACCAAACGCAACGGGATTTATGGACCTCAAAAATACTTTCTGTTACTTGCTATACTGACGAGAAACCAGATCCCTATCAGTTTCAGCTTTTTTTTTCGTTAGAAAAAAGTGTAAAAACTCAAGTCGAAAACTATAAATAATCACAGAGAAAACGATATCCAAGGATCAGCTCAATTATAATATATTTTTTAGAAATCATAAAACTTCAAAGTATGCGTTTTTTCAGCAATGCATTTGCTAAGTAAGTTAGATTTTGCTTGGAGATAGAAGTGTCGAATTTGTACGTGTCGAAAGTTGATTCTGACTTCTGACAATTTTATTTTTAATAACCTTCGATTCAATATCAGACAGTAGATAGTGTTATTGTTAATACAAAGAAGTATAAAACAACGCCAGAAGTATAAAAGTTAACGGGTTTCAGTAAAAAGGCAATAGTTTATTCGTTAGGGTTTTCAGCTTTTTCTCAATCTGTATTGCACCACTGCTTATGTGGATGAAAGTTTTTCCAGTATGCGTTGATTGGACGCAAGTTTCTATATCTGTTTTTGAAATGTGAAGCTAAATTTCATTATCTTTAAAGGAAGTGACAAAAATTTTGAGTTGAGGGTGTATTTATGTTCTTTAGAAATCATTCGATTTAACAAGACAATTTTAACGGCACTTTTTTCTACAGCCAACGATTTAAATTTAATTTCGCTTGGGATAAATAACGAGCAATTAATTTCATCATTTTCACGCGTTAGCGGTAAATTAACGCAATCCAAACTGAATTTAAGTTATGAACAAGACTGCTCGTATATCTGGGCAAAGCCCTGGATGTTCCGACTGTCCCTTAACTCATATCGAATAATTTTTCTGTATAGAAAACTGAAAACCTATAAATTTTGATCAGTATCAAAGTTTGAAATTTTGAGTCGTACGAAATTAATATGACCGATCAGCTAATCTCAATTCAATTTGGATCAATTTCCTTGTACTCAATTGATTTTTGTTGTGCGGGATAATTCGACATGCATAAATAAATCGCGCAACGCTATCAGCATCATGAGTAAACTCTTCAAAGCGCGCATAGTTTAGTCCAGAACATGGACAATTTGGCAATTTTCAAACCCCGGGCAATTTGGCGAAAATTGACTGAAAAAAAAACATGCAGAGCATAAATATTCCGTTTTCTTAATGGAACACTTTCATTGATTTTTTTTAATGAAAAAAACTTTTCACAGATACTAAGGGCATTCAAAACATACCCCGTTTTCTACTGTTTCGCGCACCATGCTTCTTATTCCCAACTGGAAAGTTCATTGTGCAGATTTTGCAAACGTATCACAACAGTTGAATTTGATTAGGCTGAAAAAAAGTTCAAGTTCAGAGCAGCCGGAGCATTCAGAATCTCGCCCTTACACAGTCTGTTTTTGTTAGAAAAAAGAATGATTGCAGTTCATTGATACTAACATCCAAAAAACAATCATTGGTTCTTCTAGTTGTCCAATTGTAATTTAGATTTTTGAACGGAAGAACTTTTGTAAATATTTTAGCAATTTTTAACAAATCATGCCGCTTTAACAGTCACCAGAAAATCGATATACTTTTTTTAGCCGTTTTTACCATGAATTAATTAATTTCAACAAACTTTGTTTCGAAATTGACTTGAAAAAAAAATAGATGTTTTTGAAAATTGACTTGAAAAAAAAAATAGATGTTTTCAAAACTTATTCAACAAAGTTATAGATTAAAAGCATATCCCGTACAGAAAAAAAATACAGATATGCCGAGGCTGAATCCATTTGTTGTGAGATTGCATATCTGTCCTGAACTGCATCAGACATGTTGAGAAGTGGAAAAAAATTTTGAAATTTTTGAATGGATTTTCAACTTTTGTTAATTGTCTTGTTTTTTTTTTTTCATTGAAAATAGCTATTTGAACAAATAACACTAAAACTTGTTAAAATCCCGTCCTTGTTTTCCGTTTTTGAAAATCACGTATAGAAATAAATTCTACAGACGTACAGCTTTCGATAATGTGATTGTAATAGTTCTGGAACGTAAAGTCAAGTGGCTGAAAATATAAACGTGCGAGGCAAATTACATTTCAATAAGTCTTTTAAACAGCTTGTTTTTTCGCCTTGTTAGCAAAAAAAATTGATTTAAACTGTTTTTTTAGACACTTGAATCGATCTGCTCAGGGGTCTTTTAAAATGGATTTGAGTTTCAGATGAATTTAAGTGCGATTTAGATGGTTTTTACTGAGTGGAAATCTACCAAACATAAACTAGATCTGAGCATGTTAAAATCTTTCCTATTTCAGATCTTGTCCAGACATGGTGCATGTTTCGTTTGGGCATGTTCATGTCTCAATCAAGACTGAAGCAGGTATGGATTTTGTTACAAAGCAGACCTGCTCAAGTCCTGATTCAGACCTGGATCATATATGGGTCAGATCTGCGTAGATCTGAACCAGATCTGAGCAGATCTGAACAAGATATGACGCATGTATCTTCCAGGTCTGAATCAGGCCTTGAGCAGATCTGCATTTGTGGTTGAATCCATACTTGCCTCAGTCCTGCGGGATACCAGTAACCGAACACAGAACAGATCATGCTGAAGCAAAAAGCTAAAACAGACAAAAAATGTCAACTATCAAAAGCTAAAACTACTGTAGGAGATGACCTTGCCATTGAATTCCTCAGTAAAAAGATGTATTTAATACACCTTGATGAATTTTTTTGAGCTGTCCGAATGCTATTAGAAAACTTCATACAAAGATGATATTAATTGTATAACGTTTAACGTTGAATATTTTTGCTTTTTCGTTTATTTTTAAAATGAATCCTGAAACGCATAATTTTCAAGGAATTATCAACAGGATTAACTAGAGCAATCACCGAAAGTAAGGGTATCCTGCGAGTATCCTGAAAATGTCATATTTACTTCTACGTTAAACCTATGATTGCATCTACGCGTGATTGATTGATTGGATGAATAAAAAGATAGCGAAATTGAGCTTCCGGGTAAATCAGAACTTGCTTTACTTGAACAATAGGGAGCCAAAAAAGGTAAATATATTTTTTTCCAGTCAACGCCTGTGTATGCAACTCCTGTCATACAACACCAATATGAGTGTGCAATTATCTGTAAGCTAATTTTTGAAATTGGGTTATTTTTCGGCGAAAATATTTGGACTGCGAGTGATTTAAATGACCGCTTCGCCTACGTATGGGTCAAAGTATTTTCAGGAGCGATGAACTCTCATTGGTATTTGAAGGAAATTGAACTTGTCTAAATGTTTTGCTAAAGAAATTTCAATAACATTACAATCATTGATGTTTGGTCAAAGGTCATGAATAATCTGCCCCCTTTTAAAACCACTTGAATTACCATACACAAAAACAACATTAAGTTCATTTTGAATAAATAAACTACTTATTTTAAAATAAACTAAAACAGTTCTCATTTTGTCAGAATCCTCATCGCAATAAAGATGCTCTTGTTTGCAGTTTTTCTGGTCTCTTCTCTCTTCTCGGCTTCCCTAGCCGAGTTCAGTTTCGGCAAGTCGTGTCCCGATATCTCTGGCAAGATCATCGGTAATATTATTTTTTTCTTTGTTCCGAATGACTATTTAAACAAACCAAACAGGTATAGATGTGTTCCAAATGAATATGTATAGTTGTTCACAAGAGTGGCGTTGTGGCGCATCGGTAGTGATAATGGACAGCAACCATATGATTGCGGGTTCTAATCGCACGTGCGCTGCAACTTACAAGGTGACCTCTTGTAAAATAGCCATAGCCTTAACCTGAAATAATTTAAGTTCGGGTTAAGTATCTGGAACTAAAAAAAAAACAAGCAAAAAAGAAAGATATATTGCCCAGAATCAAATGAAAATCGCTATTTCCTACTTATTATCCACTTCTATTGAAAAGAAAAAAAATTCCAGCCCATTGAATGACTAGAGTATGCAAAAACTGTGAACTTATTATGCGTCCCCACTGCAAATGACTTCTTATAGTGAATGCGATATTGAATGAACACATTGGGGCTTATGCTTTTGCGATGTTCTTCTGAAATATGATTTCGTAAATGTTACGAAGTTTGACGCCTGAAGGTATGGTCCAATGACGCTCTCTCATGCTTGGGACTGGTTTATAAATTGTACAAAAAATTGTTTTTGCTTGTTTGTGAGGCTGAAAATATTTTAGCACTATTACTATTGAACATGCTGTGAAATATCTCTCCTTGTAAACATCTTTATCGTACAAATTCCCTCTGATTTGCAGATGTGCCTGACCTTCACCCTTACATGGGCAGGTGGTATGAGATCAAGAGGTACTCCACCTACTTCGAGAGAGGCATCGACTGCAACTACGCATTCTACACCTTCGAAACATCCCCCAATGACAGTGAGTCACTCGATCCACAGTAAACCCCCTGTCATTCATAGAAATAGTTCAATCAGGCAACAATTCTATTTTGGGTGCCAGGAAAAGTAAATTAATTATTATTATTATTACTGCATAAAAAAAGAAATTTTAACCAGATATGGCCTGGGTTTCTTAAATTAAGTTGTTCTTATGACCTTTCTGATTTAATCACCAACAAAAATTCTCAAAAAAATTAAAATTTGAGTTTCAAGAGATTTTTCAGACGACTACATTCAAGTGAACAACACTGGGTATAAGGACGGAGTGTACACGAGTATAGTGGGTAAAGCGACGCAGCCATACCCTCCCAAGGGGGCCTTCATTGTCTCTTTCCCAGTGAACCCAATAGTGCCCAGCTACCCCAACTACAATATCATGGGTGAGTGGGAAACCTTTTTTTTCTCGTTGATCAAAGTACAAATATGAAGGGCTTCCAGATCCCTCCCCAATTCCCCTCCTCCACCCAGCACTATGCAGTTTCCTAGTTTCATATATAGGTTAAAAAGTCGACGATACGGCTAACCATGTCATAGTGAACAAACAAGCTATTACAAAATTTTTGAATTAATTTAACAATTCGATGAACGAGAGAAATGAAAAGCTAATAGACTTTTTTTTCATGTGAGACAGAACTTGATTTTAGCTCTTAACACCTCCTCTTATGTATTGATCTACAACTGCCGAGACGTCGGAATCGCACCTCTGAACGGAGTGTTCGAGATCTCCTGGATCCTAGCCAGAGAACCTTCTCTATCTGATGACGTCATCCAAATGTTGTATGGAGTGGCGGACAGTCTGGGAATAGATACGAAGTTGTTCCAGTCCACCAACCAGCAAAATTGTCCATAGAAACAGCCAGAATAACGGCTTGAGTTTAATAACTGAATGAGCACAATATATATGAGTATATTTAATAAGTAATAGAGAAGTAATTAAAAATTATAGATTATACTATTTTTCCGCGACGACCAGTGTCGAAAGTGCTATCTCTGACTTTCATGACAGGGAACAGTGACGTATCCAGTTGTGGTGGAGCTCCAGGAACTATATCAGTCTTATAATTCAAAGCGCACGTGCCCAGCAATTCGCAAAGTGCGCGATTTGCAAGATAGGCATAGCTTAACGGCCGCTTGACAAAGCGAGCTCTTGGTTCAACCTTAAATAATTAAATTCCGGGTTATGCCTCAGACTGGTTGACTAAAAAGATAACTGTCGAGCGTTAAAATGAGCACTAGTAAGAAATTACAGTAGACAGATCAGAGACAGAAATAAGTAATGAAAGGTTACCCGGGCAGATGTACGCGACTATTGTCAGGAGAATTGCAAGCCAGGATCGGGCTCTTTTTCGTTTTCCCGGGATAACGGCAGTAAACATTTTTCAGACAAAATGATAAATTTGGTTGGTGTCGCAATATAAACAGTACTTAGTCAGTCAATGTAATTCACTGGTTGTTAATTAAAAAACCGAGTCTGTAGCAATTCTGAATAGCATAACAACCTCTGAACAAAATTTTCATTGACGAAATAGTAAATTTAGAGTGGAGTCGATTGAAGCACTGTTTAACATATTTTTGATTCGGCCGAATCTGTCGAAACCCATTCACATTCGCTTGAAAAAGTTTGCTCAATTCGAGCAGTCGAACTCGTTTCTATTTACTCGAATCAAACAGAGCGAGGCTCTTTTTCCTTTCCCCCCACCTGCAAATTTTTACATGTAAATTTGTTGACCACATTGTCCGATTGTTATGAAAATTTACATACAGACCAATAAGGCCACGACAAACATATTTGGTCTTCATACTCAACCTCGTAAAACCACTCGTTACAATAATAAGTTAAAACTGGCGTAAGGTGGGGAGGGGGGGGGAAGGAAAAAGAGCCCAGAGCGACTTTGGATTGAGTCGGTTGAAGCATCCCGAGTCGAGATTTTTCAATTAATTTGAAGCAAAAGTTGAGCGGTTTGAGCGGTTTTTTTTAGACAATTGCTCTCAAAATGTTGCTTCAAAATGAGCGGTTTGAGAGGTTTTTGAACGGTTTATCTAAAAAAAAACGCTCACAAACCGCGCAATATTTGAACGGTTTTTGAGCGGTTTATCTAAAAGAACCGCTTAAATATTGCGCGGCTTCTGAGCGGTTTTTTTTAGATAAACCGTTCAAATCTTGCGCGGTTTTTGAGCGTTTTTTTTAGATAAACCGTTCAAAAACCGCTCAAACCGCTCATTTTGAAGAAAGATTTTGAGCGCAATCGTCTGAAAAAAAACGCTCAAATCTTGTTTCAAATTAGGTGAAAAATCTCGACTCAGGCCCCCCACCTCACACGAGCTTCAATATATATGTGTAACGAGTGGTTTTACGAGGTTGAGTATGAAGACCAAATATGTTTGTCATGGCTTTATTAGTCCGTATGTGAATTTTCATTACAATCGGACAATGTGGTCAACAAAGTTACATGTAAAAATATGCAGGGGGGAAAGGAAAAAGAGCCCAGGGTGGGATATCACAATCGGCGCAGCTCAAGTAAGTGTTCCAAGATCATTGCAACACAAAAAAGATATGTCGTAATCGAAAATGTCGAAAATTTCAAAATTTTATCAACCTTTTGTTTATAGTCGACCAAATTAATTTTTTGACTTCTCACCAAGCACCGTAAAGACCCTTTTTTACCAATATGTCTGCGCCGCAGGCAAAATTTTGAAAAACGGCCCAAAAAGTGTGTTTTGGGCGCTTTTTGGAAAATTTCGACCAAAAAATCAAGTTGTTTTGGCGGGCGCTTACCAATTTTAGGATTTAGAAAAACATTCGGTCCCTCAAACATGGAGATATTAAAATAGTACAAAGGAGGACCCTTTGGGTCAGCAGGGGGTCGATTCTCTGAGGGGGGGCGTCCAACACCCGCTCCCACTTAGTCCGCTCTGGTTTTAACATCCATGGTTATCGATTATACTCCTTTTTTCCTCCACATAATCGAATATTATAAAATAAAATCCTCGCCAATACTAGTTTTTTCAATATAATCAAGTTGTTTCTTAAAATTTATAATCAATTATAATCATTTTGTTGACCGTGAAAAAAACATGCTAATCCCTTTTTTCTAGTTTCTATTGAACTGTTTACTGCCGTTTCAGAATCAACTATTTTAGTTTTCTTACTGCCATTGAACTTTTCCAAACTGTAATGCTTACTCTCGCTCTAATTTCTATCAACTTTTAATTTAAAGTTAAGTTCGAAGAAGCTCAAAAAGCAGTAACTGAGGAAAAATTGATTATAAAACGGCCGTAAGCATTAAATTAATAAGTTACGCTCCCGCTCCAGAAAAGCGATTATTTTTATTTTCTTAAACTCAAGTTTCGGCCATAGACTATTATGATCACTTTTTCGGTCCGTTGGTTAGAAGTACAGTGTACCTGGTTAGCGAGCCATTAACTCAAAAAATTATCATGAGTAACTTTTGGGCTTTTCTGACAATTTTTTTTCTTATTATTTCAGAAGACTGTTTCCGAAAAATGTATTCGTGAAAAATGAAGGAAGGTCAGCAACATAGTATGAAACGATAAAATCAACTTCAACTTAAAAAAATCATGAAAAACAAAGATGTGGAAAGATAAAGGATTACAATCGATTTAGAATAGATTATTCAGACAAAAACTATGATACATTAAATTAATCAATTGCACTCGATTAAAAATGGATCGTATTGCTTAACAAAATGTAAGAATATAGTCAATTTTCTATCGATGATAATACTTTCTTAGTTTTGCAGGGGCAGAATATAAAAATCTAATTTAATCGGTTATTATCAATGAAACTCCAGTGCGGGAAAGCATCTAGCAAAAAATTAATTTTGAAATAAAATTATCCAGGCTAGTGTGGATTTTATTTATAAACAAACGAAGCGTGTTAGAATTTAAAAAAAATTCATAATTATAGAAAAAATACAATGAATCAGTCAACAGGAACCATTTTCAGCCAAAATGCACAGCTTAAATTTTTTTTTTCAAAACGTCTGATTGTATTGAACAAAATATTCGGCAGCCAGCTTTAACACTGACGAGAAGGGCCTATGAACCCAGGGGCGGATCTAAAATTTTCTCGAGGGGGGGGGGGTGAGGATTTTCAAAAAAAATCGAAAGTTTTGCCGACATTTTCTTCTTAGTTCGACCAAAATGACAATATGAGCTCTCCCCTCTCCCAAAGCATTACAAAGACCCTGCTTTGGCCTAATTTTTTGCGACGCAGGTAAACTTTTGAAAAAAGAGGCCAAAACAAGGCGTTTTTAGGCACTTTTTGTAAAAAAAAAATTGAACAAAAAAATCGCGTTTTTTCGGCAAGCCGCCATCTGAGATGTGTTTCCAGAAGCAACATTTTTTCGGCCAATAAAAAAGCTGTCGATAACGCCAGGTAAGTTTTCTATATGCTTTGCTTAATCGGCGAGTACGATCGTGTTTTCCTTCGCGACTAACCAGGCCCATAATTACTACCTTCACACCAAGGTCTACCCGGGTTGACCTCCATACACCCAAAACGCTTATCATACAATTCCATACATCAAGTGCGTGGAAAAATGCTTGTCACACAATTTTCATACAATTTCTAAAAATGGTTGAAAACTGGTATAAACTTATTTCTGTGGCTGTTTGATTCTAATAAAACAGTCTGGTGATAAAAAACTGAAGTTTTCGTTTTTTGAAAAAAAAATGCTTATCATACAATTCCCATATATGGAAATTGTATGACTGGCATTTTTTTGATGGCGACACAAAAAATTTTTCAAGTTATTTTGAAAATTTGGCCCAAATTTTTTTTCAACCGCAAATCGAATTTCGTACGCAAACAAACATTTTTCGAAAAATTTTTTTTGCATGCAAAATTTAATATTTTGTGTGCATAACGTAGTCCTGGATACGATAAAATTGGCTTTTATTTTCGTTTCACTTAAGTTTTTTTTTCAAAAACGCTGAAAATTCCCATTTCTTTTGTATGGGGTGTTAATGTATGTCTTGATCAATGTCTGATAATTTGAAAATTCAAAAATTTAAAATAATCAACATTAAAAAATTTTGCCAAAAAATAAAAGTTTTTTACTTTTGTTATATCAATTGTGAAAGACAGCTTAATTCAGGTCGTTTTCTATGCATTGAAAAAACAAGACCGTCCAACCTTTGGTATTTTGAGTAACCAATGTCTTTCCCACATTTGTTCGGTTGCAAACACAACCGAAAATTTTTCAGAAACTAAATTTAGAAGGAAAAAATCAAAATTTTTGGTATATGGAAAAATACCTATCATACAATTCCCATATATGGAAATTGTATGACTGGCATTTTTTTGATGGCGACACAAAAAATTTTTCAAGTTATTTTGAAAATTTGGCCCAAATTTTTTTCAACCGCAAATCGAATTTCGTACGCAAACAAACATTTTTCGAAAAATTTTTTTTGCATGCAAAATTTAATATTTTGTGTGCATAACGTAGTCCTGGATACGATAAAATTGGCTTTTATTTTCTTTTCATTTAAGTTTTTTTTTCAAAAACGCTGAAAATTCCTATTTCTTTTGTATGGGTTGTTAATGTATGTCTTGATCAATGTCTGATAATTTGAAAATTCAAAAATTTAAAATAATCAACATTAAAAAATTTTACCAGAAAATAAAAGTTTTTTCTACTTTTGTTATATCAATTGTGAAAGACAGCCTAATTCAGGTCGTTTTCTATGCATTGAAAAAGCAAGACCGTCCAACCTTTGGTATTTTGAGTAACCAATGTCTTTCCCACATTTGTATTTGTTCGGTTGCAAACACAACCGAAAATTTTTCAGAAACTAAATTTAGAAGGAAAAAATCAAAATTTTTGGTATGTGGAAAAATACCTATCATACAATTCTAATATATGGAAAATGCTTATCATAGAGTTTTCATACAATTTTCTGTACGTATGGAATTGTATGAAAAGA